AGTCAGTCTCTCTTGACATATTTGAATCCTGAAGGGATTATGTCGTTATTGCAAATCAGTTACATCAATTATTAAGGACAGTTTAAATAGTGGCTAGTAGTAGAATCCAGAATAACCGTTTCGTACTAGTTAGGACTCGTCATTTGGATGTACGTGCATCTATATTGATAATAATATTAAGACACGAATTCAGTGTTATGCATTTCAAATGCCTAGTCCATTATCCAGTGATAAGTTAAGTTCAAAAAATCTACAGTTTTGTGCAATCGATTGGATACATACATCTTGAATTCCTGCATAATTCTATATACCCATTTCCAAAGCTTCAAACCTCTTCAATATAAAATAAATTTGGTTAAATGTCTCAACCTCAGAACCAAGTTATTATGTTCTGAAGACAGTGTGGATGGCGAAATAGATATATTAAAGAACACATTACGAAATAATGGCTATCCAGATAATTTCGTTAAAAGATACCTTGTAGAAAGTACCAAAAAAAGAAGAAATTGTGACAAAGTCAGCAAAAAAACCTTATATCTGAGATTAGACTTTAAAGGGGACATAGCAAGTAATATTTTAACACGTCGACTCAAAAGATCTGTCTAAAGGACGTTTCACGCCGCCAAGTTACACATAATTTTCTCAACTAAACCAGTACTCACACAACTAATTAAGGATAGGCTACCGAAGATGGGCTCTTCCATGTGAGTATATCAATTCAACTGCTCCTGTGGATCTAGTTACATAGGCCGTACGCAGAGAGCTTTATCCTTCTGTGTTCATGAACATGGTTCAGCATGGTTGGAAAAAGGAGTTACCAAATCGATTAACAGCACTATTCTTTCTCACTTGGTAGATAGAGAACATCGTATCAAAATAGAAGAAGCTTTCTCTGTTTTATATCAAATTCCAAAATATCTACCTCAAGGAGATAGATTACGACTGCTTTACATAGCCGAAGCCATCTTGATCAACTCCAGAAAACTAAACTTATGTATCTAGAAAAAATATATCCAGCCTCTATGTTTACCTTGGCCCACGACTGGACCACCAAATACCTAAACTGAATGTTATAAAAATCTTGCCCCCTCTTTTTTTAATTGCCTCTATATTAATCTTCACATCCATCATTCCCATTTCGTTTATCGTAATTACCTTGATCACCCCCCCCTCGTTATTACATATTATATTCACACAACAATCATTATTATTATTGTTATTATTATTATTATTATTATTATTATTATCTCAATTGACAAGATTAAATTCTCCTACTATACATTTTATTCACACAATTTCCTTTGCATTTTTATTCTTGTTATAATACTATTCTACTTATTGTGACTGGACACTTTACTTCAAACCATTCTGACCTTTATTGAATGACTTTTCTAATTTGCGAATAATACAATTTTGAAATATATATATCGTAACAGATTCAAACGTTCACCATTTTTAACACATAACATTGTCAAATTCACTATCTGGTGTTTCCGGGTTTCCAATGGGTGTCTAACTGGAGTAAGCTCATGATGTAAATGGCAAAAAAGTTAGTAATAATACATGCCTTATTATTGGCCTTTGTAAAAATATCACAATAATTATGGACTTATAACTGTAGAGCCTGATGATGATGATGATGAAGTTATTGCAAAAACAATTGTTCACTCAAATATTCTTCATTTTTGAATATATTCCAAGGGGGTTTTTAAACTGCTAATTCATTTCATCTTATCAAAAGAGTTACACATTTGTAATAATTTTACAACTACCTCAGTGTTTAATGCACACAAAGGAAAAATATAAATATGTATCCATTGACTGATCCATTAGAAATGTACATGAAAAACTTAATGTAAAAATCTATCACCCATGAAGTTTATATAATAATTGATATCATTAAAACAAACAAAACAATAATGATTAATTGATTGAAAAAATTAGTTCTCATATCTAATATTTCCAAGTTTTCCATGATGGTCTAGTTTTAATTGACTCATGATCTGTTAAGTCCCGATAAGCATAATGAATGGTAACTTTTGGGATCCATTTATGAACCAACAATTATACGATAAAAATATACGCATATTATTATTATTATTATGCTTATCGGGACCTAACATGATCTCAACTATTGAAATTACTATACTATTATCCACAAAAACCCTTCTAATATTTGACTGAGATTTCAGTTGTATACAATGAGTTTATGTAATCTTATATATGTATGTACTGTCATTTATTATTACAATGTTTACATTGATGAATTCCATTGTCTTCTGTTATTTATTATCAGAAAAAAATATCGAAATGATAAACAATCTTATTCAGAATATATATATGTCATAACGAGTTATTATTCTGTTTAATTATACAATATACTACTAGTTTGTAATGATATATAGTAGTCTATTTTCAATGTTATAAAGTATTATTACTATTAATAGTAGTAGTTATTGTAGTTGTATCGTATAAATATTTTTATGATTGATTGAAATTCTTACGATACTACTGTTATTTGTAAGTCTTATCAAACAGAATGGGATGTAATAAATCAATCTAGTTGAGAATAAGGATTAATGAAATGTTGGTTATATAAAATTGATATGAACAGAGAAGTAAATCAGTCATGATAAACAATAAAGGCTGATTTTGGGAACATTATTTCACTTAATTCAAAGTTTGTAAGATACTAATATTTAGTTCGGTCCCTAATTTATATACTATATACCATGAGCTTTCGTTCGATACATGATTCATTGTCATACTCTTTTCTGTTCAAAAGCTATTGTAATTTAAACGTAACCCTTTGGTACTCTAATTTGTCTACTCCAATGCCCAGTTTGGACATAATTGTATTTTTCTAATTGTTTGTACGTTGTGATGTTGTAAGTATTCGATATATTTATACTTCTTCTTACATTAATCTGAATCGGGAATCATGAATAATTCGAGTAGTGTTTCAGTTTATGTGTCTTCTCTTTATTTCTCGCTTATCAACCAATCAGGTGATAAAATAGTTTTCGTCTTAATTTGAACTCACATATTTCTAGCTTCAAGGATGAACCAATCGTGTCAAGACCTTAACCTAGATCGAGACAAGTTCTCTCGTGTATATACTTATGTAAACTGATCAATGACATAACAGATGATTTTTTGATGAGTAAGAAATTAAAACATCATATATCAGTGCATATAATATAGATTGCTTTAATTTTATACCATTTATAATTTTATATATTTCTATTATCTTAGAATATGAAGAGTTAGACAATAATATTAGGTAATCGTGATTAAATCGGTTTGTTGATATGTGACTTTATCAAAAAAGAAAAGAATAGAATGATTAAATAGTGATTATCAAATTTAACTTTAACAAACCGGGAACGATTGTTTCACCTCTCTCACTCTCACCCAGTCACCCACCCAACAACCCCGCATACACACATACACACACAAATCTATACATACTAACGAAAGTGATGTCGAAATGGAATTATATGAATGTATGTTTAAGTGTTGAGAAGCAATCAGTGATTGTTTTCAGTGACAATCATTATTATTTATCGTTTAATTTGAACAGTATTGTTTTCAATAAAATTGTCACTAAAAAAATTTATCTTACAGGTTTGATTTATTTTTAAAGAAATTTTCATAACATTGATCTGTCAGTAGGAAAACTATAAAGAACTGGAAAGATCTAGCGAAAGAACCGTAAACATAACACAACATCAAATTTAAGAGATTTTGAAATTTCATAGAAAGTGTAACACTTCTAGAATATAAAATAATAAGTTAATCTTGTTGATGATTCTTTTTTTATTCCATACAGACTATAACTAGTTGAATTTATATAAAATATGACAAAACAGAAGCAAACACGAAAGTGAAGAGTAGCATTAGAGCTGACAGTTAGAAATACGTGGGATACCTAGAAATGACATTGGAAAAGGCTGTAAGAGAAGGATATATGAGACCGCTATATAATATAACGAAGAAACTAACAGGAAAATACAATAAACCAGAGACCAGTAAAGAACAAAGAATGAAAGCCAGTCACTAGGATTCCAGAACAAAAGGAACAGGTGGGCAGAGCACCTTCAACAACTCTTGAATAGATCAGTCTCACTGAACCAACCGGACATAAAAGCAGCACACATAGACATTCCTATAGATGTCGCTTCACCAACGATCGAAGAAATCAGGATGGTTATCAGACAAATCAAGAGTGGTAAGCAGTTGAACCAGACAACATACCAGCTGAACCACTGCAGTCGGACATAGAAGTTACTTCAAAGACGCTCCAAATTCTATACTGAATCATTTGGGATGAAGAAAAATTGCCGACAGACTGGAAAGAAGGAGATCTCACCAAGATACCAAAGGAAGAAGATCTGAGCAGATATGAGAAAAACGGAGACACCACACTACAATCACTACGAAGAAACATTTTCAGCAGAGTGTCGTCGAACCGTTTGAAAGATTAAGTAGCTGCCTGACCTCGAGATCACCAGGCTGTAAAGATCGGTTAAGTACCGACCATATCGCTACACTATGGACCATTAATGAGCAGAGAATAAACCAGCTTCCAGATGAGTTGGAAATTAGGAAAAAATGGTGGAGATGGATAAGACACACATTGAGGAAATCTTCAAACTGTATCACGAATCAAGCCCCAGATTTAAATTCAAAAGGCAAAAGGAAAAGAGGCAAACCAGAAATTACGCGGAAGCAGAAACTGGAGGCAGACATCAGAACAATGAATAGCAATCTGCAACAATTAGGAGAGACTAGGACAGAGGTGGATGGCCTACACCCCCCCACTAGGATTAGAAGGCGTCAATAAGTCAGTAAGTAATTGAAGTGAAAGTCACTAAGATCGTATCCCGTAGTGAACGTCAACTCTTAGACCCCGAACATTCAGCTGATAAGTCCTAAAAAGAACGAAATCTACTTTGTGGATTTCAATGCTAGTTACAGATAGATAATTATCAACTTACCAATTAGTGTTGTAACAGGATGTGCACTATGTGGACAATGAACTGTAGGCTGAATATTTTGATATTGATTTGTTTGATTCATTTTAAATTCATTATCTTTAGTCAGAATTGCTTGTTTATTGTTCAGATCATTTTTTCTTAGTAAAAAACAATCACATGATTCTCCTTCTGAACATATTCTTTCTGATAATGCAGATAATATAGGATGACGATGTGGAGGTTTAGGTGGTTGTGAATATGATGATAATGATGTTTCTATTGATGATATTGAAGAAAGTATTGGAAATGTTTGTTGTTCCTGACGTTGTGAATATGGTAACTGAACGTATGTTACGCCTGTATCGCATATAATTCTACCAGTCATTGAAGGTGAACAAGAAGTTAAAGATGGAGATGATGATGATGCTGATGATGATGATGAAGTCGACGATGATATATTTAATGAAGTTTGATTACATAAAGAAGAGCAAATAGGTATTGTTGTAATGTGTTTATTCATAGAAGATGAAATCATTTGATTCTTTTCAAATTTATCATTACTAAAAGGATAATTAAATCGGACTTGATTTAAACCAATTGTATTTAATGAAGAATCATTAATGTTACTAATAGAAAAATCATTTTGTAAATTTTTTTGATGATTATAACTTGAATCTTGTAATTCATTTTGTATTGTTACCGTTATTGGTGCAACTGATGATGATGCTAATGAAGTTTTCTTGCGAAAATTAACAATTAACTATGAAATAGAAGAGTTAAAAAAAGAAAATCAAATGAAAAGTGTTATTCTAAAGGGAAAACAAATTTGGACAGAAAGAGAAACAAACAAAAAATTAAACAATTTATCTTATAAGTAAATATATTCGATTAATCAGTTAATTAGTTATTCTCTAGGTTGAGTCTGGCATAGAAGTGCATTTGTTTAAGTTGCCATACTTCATTATTATTATTATTATTTGAACACATAGATATTGGTACAAGGGGGCACCAAATACATATGCGCCACACAAATCTCATATGATTTGTCTGAGAGCTGTGATGCTGCCCGGGTGCCCGAACCGAACCACGTGGTTTTCTTAAGGGGCCACACTTGGAGCCTTCGACCTAAAGGTCTGATCCACAAGGCAGTGGAGCATCGTAAAAAAATGCAGCCTCATTATAGCCGCTGACCAACGACTGGTTCATACGCCATTTGTTCCTCCAGGATACTGGAGCCCATGTGGACTATTGGTTTGGAATCAAAGTTTTCCAACTGCCCTAGATAGACTCTTCATGTCCACTAACCCGGTTAAAGCACCGGACATTCGCTTTTCGTCCTCTCAATTTCGTAAACAGCACCCGTTTTACGAGAAGGCAGTGAGTAGGACTTCTCTGGCAGAGGCATGGTCGTGTGAGAGCATTTCGGAAAGAAGGACTGACTCTCACAACTCTCGATCGTGCCACGGCATTTTGGGGCAGTTGCTATACTATATCTACCATGATAGAATGAAGTTAACAAGCTGAACTGACAGAAATATTGAATTTACGTAATGGGAATGACAAAGAAATTAACTGAATGATTCCAATATAATTCGAGAAAACAGGATAGAATGGTAGAAATGAGAAAAGAATGGAATTCAAGGCGGAGAGGAAGACAAGAACTCAATGAATCTAAATTGTTATGAATGAATCTGAGCCATGATATTTAACATTGTTAAACACTAGCTACGGAATTCATGAGGATTTTAACTGTGTAGCTTCATTCAAGAGTTGACAACTTCATGAACTGATGCCATCTTTTGGTTTCTTAATAGTTAAAAATATATATGTCACTCAGAACAGCACTTTAATCAGTGTATAGTAATTGGAATCATGTTAGTCAAGCGCTGAATTTCAAATGAACAGCCAAAATCAAGCTTCCATAAGCCATTAGGTTTATATAATTCAACTTCGTCAGTAATGCTGAAGACATGACAATCGTGACAGTGATTACTGAATAAAGTAATTAAACAGTGTAAACTATCAGTCCTTCAGCTGTTCATACAAGTCAGTACCGATGTTTTTATCATGAAAACATTTTAAAAAAACTACTAAGAAAGATAGTTCAGAAGAAGTTTATTTTATATTTCGATTGTTATAACTACAGTGAAGTTAAAATCATATTCTCTTTCTTTAATTGTCATTTTGTTGGTCGTCTCTCTCACTGAAACTTGATATGAAGCGGGAAAACTGGAGCCGATGCATAATCATCTAAGATCATATAGTGAAATCTTTATTTAGGTGAAATAGCTTAGAATCGTCCATAATGGCACAAATTCATTTACTCTTGACCTTCTTTTCAATCTTTAAATCAAGGATCCCTCTATATATGTACTTCCACTCAATTTCTCTTAGACATTCTCAATGTTCACTTGTTTTCAATATGATTATAATTCATTTCATCACATCATATCAATTGTGGTATCACATCTGTCCCAGAATTTAAATCGGTGATAACTGACTAATAAATTGGCTAACAATAACCAACTAGACTAACGAAAAAGTTATCACAAACTACTTAAATAAAACTATAATTATCCGGTGTATGGAAAAACCTAGTTGGTAAAGCCTCCAAATGTTATCTTTTCCTCTTGAAATGCTCACACATGGCCATGCATATACAGCCACTAACAGGAAGTCCTACTCATTACCTTCTCACACCAAATGCCCCCAAATGCCCTGGTATGGCCGAGAGCGGGGAGGGTTCGCCCTCCCTCTCGAAATACTCTCACAAGGCCACGCGTATATAGCCTCTGCCAGGGAAGTCCTACTCACTGCTTTCTCGTGGCGGGGGTGTTGTTTACGAAAATGAGAGGACAAAAAACGAACGTCCGGCGCTATAACCGGATCCCAATTCTATGGTGCACATGGGCTCCAGTATCCTGAAGGAACGAATGGCGTATGAACCAACTTTTGGTCACCGGCTTCCATGGGACTGCATCTCCTCACGATGCTCCACTGCCTTGTGGACTAGACCTTTAGGTCAAAGGCTCGAGGTGTGGCCCCCTAAGAAAACCACCTGCTTCGGTCTGGGCACCCGGGCAGTATCCCAGCCCACTCACTAAAACTATGATGAACTATATGCTTATAGAAAGTATTCGTTTCTCTCCAACTAACATTGAAATGACTGGTATTATTATTATTATTACTATTATTATTATTGTTATTATTATTATTATTATTTACTACGTCATTTATTCACTATCTCCTATTTCTACTTTTTGTATCCGCTTCGACTCAGACAGCAGCTCGCCTATGGTGAAAATTCAGCTTTATCTAAACGTCCTCGAGTCACTACCTGGTTGAAAATTGTATGTTACTACCGAATATGAGTACTGAAGCAGTTTTTCTGAAACCACGAGCACCATTCAAACTGGCTGCCTTCAACGTTCGCACACTTATGCAGGTCGGACAACAGATAGGGCTGGCTATGTCTTTGGAAAGTCTTAATATTGATGTGTGTTGTCTATCCGAGACCCGTATTCAAGACTCTGGTGAAGTACTACAAGTTCGCTCTCCATCTGTCACTTCAAAAAGCTTGTTTTATGTGCGTTTATCCGGGGACCCTGTGGCATCTTCGTCTGGTCTTGCTGGCGTTGGTGTCGCACTAAGCGCAAGAGCTGAGGCAGCACTAGTTGACTGGATCCCCATTAACAGTCGGTTATGTGCTGTTAGATTAGAAAGTACCATCAAAGTGAGAAGAAATCGGCGTGAGAAACGATGTCTTTTCGTCATCTCCGCCTATGCCCCGACAGATTGCAGCCCGGATGCAATCAAGGATGAGTTCTACCATCAGCTAACTGTTCTTCTCCAGAAAGTGCGTTCGACAGATATTGTAGTACTAGCTGGAGACTTGAATGCTCAGGTCGGGCGTCTAGGCACAGAAGAGAGTCGTTTAGGTGGCCGATGGGGACTCGTTGGTCGCAGGACAGATAACGGGGAACGTCTACTGCAACTATGCACAGACCACAACCTGTTTCTGGCTAGCACTAACTTTCGGCACAGTCATCGCCGATGTGCCACCTTGCGTCCCCCTTCTGCATCTCAAGCCTGGACTCAGATTGATCACATCGCGATCAGCTACTGCTGGCGCGGTTGTGTACAAGACTGCCGCTCCTTTTGGAGTACCTATCTGGAATCTGATCATGCTCTGGTCTGCGCCAATCTTACCTTACTTTTCAGTGGACAACGAAGTGACCGCCACCAAAGGATTGATGTTAGCAAGCTGGCTGCAACTTCTGTTGCTAGTAAGTACCGAACCGAGCTAGCTTCTAAGCTAGCTAGCATTCCACCGAAAAGTATAGATGAGCATTGGTTGCAATTGCATGACGCCATGAAAATGGCGGATCAAGTCTGTTGTGGGTCTGCGAAACGTCCCGCTTACAAGCACTGGGTTTCTTCTGGTTCCTTACAACTGATTGAAGCCCGTCGGTCTACTCCGGGTGACCGTGAGTTTGACCACAGACGAAGGATGTTACGTAATGAAATCGGGCAAAGCTTGCGTAAGGACCGAGAAGCCTGGTGGTCGGAGCGTGCCAGTGAGTTGGAAGCAGCAGCTGCATCTGGTAATTACCGGAAGCTCTTCCAACTCATCCGAGCCACTGGCAGCAAGAAGTTTGGTGTGAGCGAAACAATCTGCGAGGATGACGGAACGCTAATCACTAACATCCATCGACGTCTTGGACGATGGGCAGAATTCTTTGAAGGGCAGTTCAACTGGCCTGCTGCTCCGGCAACATCGGTCAGACTGTCCTGCCCTCCATGGCCGGTGACGACTGATCCACCAAATGAGGCGGAAGTCCGCAAGGAACTCCATCTCTTGAAACGTTGCAAATCACCGGGCCCAGACGACTTACCTCCGGCTCTTTTTAAAGATGGTGGTGACTTTTTGACTAAGGGACTGACGACGTTGTTTACAAAGATCTGGGAACTAGAGAGTGTACCAACGTCATGGAATGAGTCGATAGTTGTCCCTATCTTTAAAAAGGGTTCACGTTGTTCCTGTTACAACTATCGGGGGATAAGTCTACTTCCGATTGCGTCCAAGCTATTGGCTTCCGTCATACTTCGTAGGTTGTTCAGAACCCGAGAAGGATTGACTCGCGAGGAGCAGGCTGGGTGTCGTTCTGGTCGAGGATGTTTTGATCATATCTTCACCCTCCGCCAAGTGTTAGAACACCGCCGTACTTATCAAAGGCCAACAATCGCAGTGTTTCTTGATATCAGGGCCGCCTTCGATTCGTTGGACAGAACTGTTCTCTGGGATTGTCTATTGAAGAAGGGTGTGCCTGAGAAGTTTATTAACATCCTAAAAGCTTTATACACAAACACCTCAGACAGAGTGAGGGCATACAACCACCTTTCTCCACTATTCCATTCGAGCAGTGGGGTTAGGCAGGGTTGCCCAATCTCACCATTCCTCTTCAACTTTGCCATCGATGACATTCTGGAAACAGCTCTGACGGATGTAAGTAATGGTGGTGTGGATCTGTTGCCTGGAGAAAGACTTCTCGACCTTGAGTATGCGGATGATATTGTCTTACTGTGCGAGAATGCCCAAGCCATGCAATCCGCACTTAATCAGTTGGCAATCAGTGTCCGTAGGTATGGTATGTGCTTTGCACCTTCGAAGTGCAAAGTACTTCTACAAGACTGGCAGGATTCTAATCCTGTACTCACTCTGGATGGTGAGCAGATTGAAGTAGTCGAGAACTTCGTGTA